AGGGAGCCCGATGCGGGACTCGATCCAGGGACTCCAGGATCATGACCTGAGCTGAAGGCAGTCGCTTAACCAACTGAGCCACCCAGGCGCCCAGGATGAGCTTTTTGACAGGCGGAAAGAAGAGCTTTCAGATAACTCAGGCTTGGGAACAATAAAGGGCAGATGGGTACTAGATAAAAATGAGGAGTCCAGCTTGACCACCACTGGTGATTTTCATACATAGTTGACATAAGGAATTCTTTATTCAAGTACTTTAATCTTACAAAGAATACTAATTATATAAAACAGATATAAGTGGGGCTATTCTTGTTAAAATGGAGAGTGAGAGGATTATGAGTCCCTAAGATCCATTCAAAAAGCAAATGTTGAAAGTCGCTAGATTGGATCACAGGGCAGGAATAGGAAGACATTAGGGTTACATATATTTACATATATGTAATATATATGTACATAATACATATATTATGTACATAATACATATATATTACATATATATGAATGAATATGTGAATATATATAGTAATATATGAATATCTAGTAATGTGTGTGAATATATAGAAATAATGTGTGAATGTGTGTGTGTTTATATGCTCTCCTACAAGGGTGGGACAAGATGAGGACTGATGGTATAATAAGGAGGAATAAATGATGGAGACAATGAAAGGGAACAAGAGGAAATGAGGGAAGGGAGGAGGGACGGAAAGAGATGAGAGGGAGAGAACAAAATTGTGCACTGCTATCAAAGCAAAGGAGAGGAATGTTTCAGGAAGAAATGAGTCACCAAAGAAGATGTACAGATGGTAAATAAGCACATAAAAAGGTGTTTAACACCTTTTTAGTTATTAGAGAAGTTAGAGTTGTTAGGGAAATGCAAATTAAAACCGCAGTGAGACACTACTGCACACCCATTAAAATTTAAAGGACTTGTTAAAATTTAAAAGACTGACCATTTTGAGTGTTGGCAGGGATGTGGAAGATCTGGAACTCTCATATACTGCTGAAGGGAATGCAAAATGGTCAATCACTTTGGAAGACATTTTGACAGTTTCTTAAAAGGTTAAACATACACTTACCAGGATTCCGCTCCTAGGTATTTATCCAAGAGAAATGAAAACATATGTTCATACAGAAACATACACAGATGTTTATAGCAGCTTTATTTAAAATAGCCAAGACCTGGAAAGAACCCAAATGTCCCTCACCAAGTGAACAGATAAACAAATTGTGGTATATCCATATAATGGAATACTACTCAGCAATACAAACAAATGAATTATTGAGATACACAACAATATGGATGAAGCCATACAAAAAAGAGTACGTACTGCATGACTCCATTTATATAAAATTCTAGGAAATGCATTCTAATCTATAGTCAGAGAAAGCAGAGAACAGTGGGTTGCTTGAGAAAGGGGGCTGGATGGATGGGATGGTCATTCTGATTGCAGTGATGATTTCATAGTTGTATACATATGCCAAAACTTATCTAATTGTACACTTTAAATATGTGTTGTTTATTAAATGTCAGTTATATCTCAGTAAAGCTACTGTTTTTAAAAGAAGATGAAAAAAGAATAAGAAGTTGAAAGTTGATAGAGTTAAATGTAGAGGGAAGAACCAGAAGAGCAGGGATTAGAATGAGGCCATTTGACATTCTCAAAAGCTCGTTGCTGACTGAGACAGCAGTTCTAGTGCGGTTGAAAGCAAGACTTACTTGAAAGCAAGGCTGTCAGAGTGAAGGAGTGAGAGGGTGATAGAAGGATAGAAGCAGTGTGCATTTATTGCTCCTGTATCAGTCCATCTAGGCTGCCACAACATAATACCATAGGAAGTTTTGCTTCCACATTCTCTCACTCCCCCACCCTTTATCATTACCTTGTTCATGGCAGCGTATATAGCCTACCTCCATTGCTTAGGCTGAACCCCAGTGGGTACCCTGCCTCAGTTTCTCAGACCTTGCAGCCATGAAGTCCATCAGCAGTATTTCTTGAGAGGCCACTCTATACAGAGCATGCCAACTAGCTATCTTGTAGAATGGAGAATTTTTTTCAGGGTAATTTAGACAACTGTACTTTATTGTAGAAATAGTTACACTTAACTGCCTCACCCCCATATTGTGCAAAATCTCTCTTCCCTTCCCTCTTGTACCCTGTCCTCTCCTCCGCTCTGTTACCCTTCTCCTCTCTTTCTTCCACTCCAATCCATCCGGACCCCACATACTTAAGCATTTTACGTGTATTTGCGGTCAGTTGCAACTGTGAGGTCATTTTGCGGCCAGTACTACAGGACTTACAAATCCAACAAATTTAATTCACTTTGGTTTAAAACATTTTAGGAAATAACTTCAGATCTGAGAAATTATGGTGGAATGGGTCCAGCCAGAAGAAGAAATTCCAGAATTGTGAATGGCATAGAGAACTTACTGTTAGCCCCAACTCCAAAAGTGCCAGACACCCTTACTCATCCTTCAGAAAGATTCCAGCCTACCAAAAGGTACCACCCTAGGGGTTTGTTTAAAATAACAAAAGTGTCCTCTTTTAAGTCAATTAATAACAGATTGTGGGATTGAAGGATGCCTAAATTCCCAAAGTGACCAGCATGTGTTTAATTTTTAAGACCTTGTATGAAGACAGAACACAAGGAAGAAGAATATGGGCCTCTCCAAATTTTCCATATTTATCTTAGACTGAAAAGCACGGAACTACCCCTCACTATTCTAACAAGTGTTTTATCAATGCTTAGGATAATAAGGTGCTGCATTATCAGAGAGCTAGAGCCTCTACAGAGAGATGGCTCTAAATCAGGAATGTCCTATAATGTCCCGATCTCTCTATCATGACAGAGAAAGGAGATATTTGTATTCTGTAATAAATATTCTGAGTATTTCCAATGATAGTTTAATTTAATTCTGGCAAATTTAAAATGTAAAAAACAAACAAACAAACAAACAAGCAAAACTACTCTACTATCCAAGATGTCATCAGTCTGACATATGGCCAGAGTTCAAATACCCTAAGTTCACATTCCCAACATGTGGATGGAAGATTTAAGACCAATATGTCTAGTCAAGAGGACCCTTGCGTGGCTACTTCAGTCCAGGAAGCCCTGCAGTAGAGGCCAGGAGGGCACAAAGGGACCTGGGTAGTATAAACACTGAGCCAGGCTCTGAAGTTCGGGACAGAGGAGGAACTGCTGATACATGCTCTAGGCACATGGGGGCCACAAGAAGGGCGGTGACACATCAGCATCCCTAGTGAATATAATCAGAAACATCTGAAGAAGATGAGAACCATGGAGACAGAGCCACCTGCTCTCCTTTTGTGATGCCTAATACTCAGCCCCAGGTTTCCTATCCTCCAGGGAGCTCTTGTGTTGTCTTTTTATTATATGTACACTTACTTCCTGCCTTGGGCTCAGATGTCTCTGTTCACTTGTCAGGGCTCCGGAGGCTTTTGTGTCTATTCAACTAGAAAAGGTGGGGCTGCGGGACATGATGCTGAACACCTTCCTCCTCAGGAAACAAACCATGGCCGACAGAATGAAGAGCCTTGTGAGTTTAGTGAGAAGGGCTCCCTAAAGCTCTCATTATCTTTTACATTTGAGCAAATAAAAATTCTTAACTTGTAATCTGTTGCTTTCAGCCTATTTGGATAGGACTATTGAAAATATAAAGAACTGTAAAAGGGAATTCAATAAGAAATAGAAAGGAAGTAATTCAAGCTAATTGCAGTCTAGTTTTAAAAATATGCACATTTTTTCCAAGACCACATTTTATTTTGTCACTTTCTAAACGGAACTAGTTTTAGCACCTGCTCTGGAACATTAGCCCACTCTTGAGTGACCCACAGATGTTCAGGGGGTTTAGACAAGGTGAGCAAGGGCTCTTACTATCTAATTCATGTGTTATCTGATTATCCAGATATTAATGACATGTTTCTATTTAAGGATTTTATACTAGCCCAATCTGTTGGAAAATACAAAATTCAAGCCTTTAAGCAGTTCAAAGTATTGCTTAATTTTGTGAATATGATTTCATTATTCGTTAATTTTTTGAGGAGGAAGTCACTAGACTAATGCATATTTCTTTGGGAGAGAAATCATAGGTTTACAATCTCTAGGCTTCTTCCCTATCTATGACTGAAAAGGAAAGACTTAAATTTCCCTTAATCCAGTTCTACAAATGCGATGTGAGGGAGGCCAAACTTCTAGACTACTGCTGAGCAATAGTGGGGGCAAAGGACTCCTTTTAATAAGTAATTGAAATATTCAACTACCTTTTTTACTACTATATTCAAAAAATATTGACCAAATGAAAAATTTTATAGCTCATTAACTGCACTTCAGGATTATCCAGTGCCTATCAGATTAGAAGACACAGGACTCCTAGATCATAGACAAAGAACTTTATGACTCACAGCAGAGCAAGTGACATGACCTTTATGTTTGTATCAGTTCTCTTTGCCTCCCAAGTCCCAAGGGGGCAACATGGAGGAGCCTAGATGTATGCAGTGGGTTTTTGTCCCAGTCAAATGACACTGAGCTTAAGGAATCTACCTCTTTTTGTGGCAAGCTTGCTATTTTTCCTGGAGGGAGACGTTACCCATCCCTCAAGGTTGCTCTTTGCACACAGAACCTTGAGAAATGGCCCAAGTAAAGAGTGGTCAGGGCCTTGCATTCTTGGCATACTCAGCAAGGTGTGCAGGAATGGGAGAGAACCATGGAGGAGTATTTCTCAGCAAGTTGGCCTTCAGAAAGAATATCTCAACTCTGCGACCTTTTCCTACTTTAAGTTTGCTATAAGTTTGTATACATGTACTAGGATGGAGTTTTTATAGCCAACCATCTAATAGAAGAACTATCATTCTCTTTTATTACAGGATGAAATTGGTAAAGTCAAGAGAGACGTTATAGTTGAATATTGTCAGAAGTAAGTATGGTATATGTGCACAACATACGCTAATTTCTCTGACTCTGAATTCAATAAACTGCAGTGTTATGTAGAAATCCAGACAATGAGTCAGGTGGTTTTCTTAATTATTTATTTATTGTTTTCTACCAAACATTTATTTATTTATGTATTTTAGTTTAAATTAAATTAATTAACATATAGTATATTACTAGTTTCAGAGGTAGAGTTCAGTGATTCATCAGTCTTATATAATACCCAGTGCTCATTACATCACATGCCCTTCTTAATGTCTATCACCCAGTTACCCCATCCCCCACCCCTCTCCCCTCCAGCAACCCTCAGTTTGTTCCCTATGATTAAGAGTCTCTTATGGGGGGCGCCTGGGTGGCTCAGTCAATTAAGCATCTGCCTTTGGCTCAGGTCATGATCCCAAGGTCCTGGGATAGAACTCCGCATCGGGCTCCCTGCTCAGTGGGGAGCCTGCTTCTCCCTCTGTGCGCTCTCTCATCTCTCTCTCTCAAATAAATAAATAAAATCTTTTTAAAAAGAAGAGTCTCTTATGGTTTGTCTCCCTCTCATTTTATCTTGTTTTATTTTTTCCTCCCTTCCCCTATGATCCTGTTTTGTTTCTTAAATTCCACGTATCAGTGAGATCATATGATAATTATCTTTCTCTGATTGACTTATTTCACTTAGCATAATACCCTCTAGTTCCATCCATGTCATTGCAAATGGTAAGATTTCTTTTTTTTTTTTTTTTGATGGCTGAGTCATAGTCCATTGTATATATATACCACATCTTCTTTATCCATTCATCTGTTGATGGACATTGGGCTCTTCCCATAGTTTTGCTATTGTGGACATTGCTGCTGTAAACATTGGGGTGCAGGTGCCCCTTCAGATCACTAGGTGGTTTGTTTTTAAATAAACACAGTTTTCTTGGATAAAACCAAACCAAACTATTCTCTGACACATAGAAGAGTATCAGAAGTGAAGGATGGGAGGTGCTTTGAAGATGTTCATGCCTCTGCCTTCAGGCAATAGCAACCTGACCCAGATAGAACTTTCTTCTTGATGAGGTCCTCTATTATCTTTGAAAGATCTTTTAGGGAAGTAGATCCTTCTGAGAAGGAATGGAATGGAATAACTTTGATTCACTTTGTGGACATCATCTCTTCTGACTTTTCAGGTTCAACTGCCGTATGTCTCACTATGCTCTTCGTGGTCAGATTATGGCATACTGCAATAGCCTGAGAGCCCTGCTGGAAGATTTCCCTACCATCAGGGATACCTTTTTCATGGTGGGGCAACCACAAGAAAAGAAAGGGTTGAGAGACTCCAAGGAGGGCCTCAAGGCTGACCCCAGGTGTGTAATTTCCTTTAGAGCTTTTTACTCCCCCTCCATACCCTACTCCTCCCAGGAAAGAGGGAGGAGGCATGTTAAATTTCGTATGGGAATCTTGCTTTCTTTACTGCATTTGACCTTGATCTTCTGGTTCAGAAGGGCAAAAGAAAGAGCTAACACTCTAAGAATAACACTATCTTTGTATTTGAACCCAGAAGAGGTTCTTTGTTTATGGGCTGTTTCACTGCTTTTTTAATCTATGCAGTTTTGTTTTCTCCTGGAGAGTCCAGAGATTTCCATCAGTCACACCCTTTTACATAAGCCGGCATCTAAAATAAGCAAACAAATAAGTAAACTTGATCTTGAGCTGTCCTGACTTCAAATATTTTACTCAATGGAGCAGAAGAAATAAGAAACACACACACACACACACACACACACATTGATGTACCAGTGCCTTAGATAAATCTGTCCTTCTGTATTTCTCTGGCAGAGGAAAAAAAATACATGTAGAGTGATATTAAATGATAAGAGCAGAGCTGCTTCCATATTTCCTTATCATGCCTTATCCAGTTTTCCAATGTTCTTAACTCAACCTGCCTGGAGTTCACTCACCTAGATGGAGGAGTTAGCATACCTGTGCAGTCAGCGACCACGTTTCCTTTAAAAAAGAAGAAAGAAAGAAAGAAAGAAAGAAAGAAGGGATGTTACACAGTTCTGCAGTCTCCAAGGGGGAGCAAAAACATCCTGCAGGGTGAGCTTACTTTCCTCCTAAGGTACAGAGCTTAGTGTTGAGTAATAGTAATACTCAATAAATATGATCATAGAACAGATGGATGAAAGTGAATTGAAAGACCATATGTATCAGACCACTCATTCACTCACTTATTCATTCATGCATTATTCAACCAGCATTTATTTAGTGCTTACTTAATACCAGGCACTTTGCTATGTGCTGGAGTTACAAAGGTAAATAAGCCACTGACTCTGGCAATAAATTCAGTCGAGTGGGGGAAAGCTCTGTAAACAAAAAAGTAACTTCAAAGATTTTAAAGATAATCTGCTAGAGTTATGTGAAATGTTCTGTGAGGACACAAAAGAGGGAGTGTTTAACTGTAGCCTATAGCCTAAGGGAGAAATTCAAAGAGGAGGTGACAGGTAAGTTGGAGCTCACCAAAAAAAATGGGGATGAGAGAACAGGCTAGAGAAATCTGGAGAATGAAAAACACTTGAGTTTGTAAGCCCTTGACTAACTGATAGCTGATACCAAAATAATGACCAGTCCTACCTTGATACTTTTATAGGTACCCAGTTTGTGGATACCAGTGTCTGTCTCATGAGCTCAGCCAGTACATTCACTTGGGGAGACTTCCAGATTTATCCAATGGAAAAATGCATTTGAAGGAAGTGCAGGGCAAATACACCTCAGTAGACTGACTATTTTGCTGAAGGGTTTGACTGTACACCTGTTGCCCAATGAGGCTGAAGTGTATCTTTCTCTCCTATGAAACATCACAGGATAATCCTCTAAGACTTCTTTCATTATCTCATCTACCCACTAGCCCAGTCAACCATTTATAAGCCCTATCTATATTTGGGATCAAATTTTTAGAATAGTTTCCAGAAGTCTAACCACATGTCACTACACTTGCGTTTAGGATAAAATGTATTCAGGAAGTCTGTTTTTGTTTCTGATCTGTTTTATTTGAAGCACCCAAATAAGGAGGTCAGGAAGGGAAAGAAAAAGAAAAAAAATGTCTCTAACTTGCAGGTCTTGTTCTATTCCTGTATTGTTTATTGTAGATGACTGTGTGTTTCCTAAAGATCAAAAGAAACCATCATTTAAGGGGGATGAGCCTAGAGCCCTAAATCATCTGGTCAGTTATTGTGTGATGATTTCACGGTAGGATTTTTGTCAATAAAAGTGAGTAAAGTAAGTGCTCACCCAGAGCCCAAGTAATAGAGTTAGACAGTGGATGCGCAGTGACTGATAAAGATTCAGTATTTTTTGACTATACCTGTCTCCTACTTCCTAAACTCTCTAGATTTCAACATGTCCCTTTTAATACACTACAGAGAATGAAGCAATAGAGAAAGGAACTTCTGTTTTACATGGAAGTTTAAAAAAGTATTGTATAAGATTATTTTTAACTCCAAAGTCTGTGATTCCATGTACTGAGTATTAATAAAAATGAACATCAGCCACAAGGAGATAGAGTGGAACGAGTCATGGCCTTGGTGTTAGAATATTTGGACTTTACCCAGCTCAATTATAACTTGCTCCGAGGTTTCAGGCAAATCACTTCTCTTCAGTCTCTGAACGTCAACTCTTCATCTGATGAGTGAGGAAATTGAAGCAGCTCTCTGAAGTTAAACATACTAAGATTTTTAGTGCTAGGGTATCTAGAGTTTGATTCCAAGGAATGGAACTGCTGAGGAAAGACTTCCTGGGAAGCGGCCATTTAAGAGTGTTCATGAAATGATAGATGAGACTCACCCCAGGACAAGTTTAACTAGAGATAAAGGGACAGAGTGGGGGAATGATGAGGGTCATGGAAGAGAGAGGTCCTCACTCACCTCATTCTTAAAATATGGAGTTGGGTTAGGTCGAAGATAAAAAATAAGTTTTCCTTTAAATATCGGTTCTAACAATTAATGCCCTGCTGAGGATTCTGAGCCATCCCAAGCTTATGAGAGTGTTCTAATTGATTGGCAATGTCTGTCACAGCCAAGGACAGGGGCAATGTGGCCTCCCTGTTTGTGTTTGCCATCCCTTGACCAGAAGAGCCCCATGAGTTCTGTAGGTTTAAAATTCTAAGATGCTATTTAATACTCTAAAGGCTGTAATGTACTGTGTTTAGTTTTAACAGAGACCACATTATCCTCAAACCAAAGTCTCTATAGAAGAGGAGCCAAGAGGAGTTCTCCCAAGAAGGATGCCCCTTGAGGCCTTCTTGCTTTTCATGGCTCCAGAGGAGACTAGAATCTGGAGACTGGGATGATGCTTGGCCACATTCCAAGAGCAGTGGTGTCGGCTGATTGAGGAGTGAAGAAAGGAGAGAGAGGATATTCACATTAATCAAACCCTTACAATGTGACAGGTAGAGCCACCATGATCCCATTTGGTGCTTTACGCACATTAAAAGAAGGCAAGCCTTCCTCTGGGCAGGTGTAGCCCCGTGCCAGGGTGCAGAGTTTGGGAAGTAAAACATAAGCTGGATCTCAGCCACTGCTGGGTGCCTTAGGGCACAACCCAAATAGCAGTACATGGTAACTTTGGTGCCAAGTGCTGTACAGCAATGGATAGACATGGTCCTTGCCCTTCAGGCAAGGGGAAATAGGTAATTTTTAAAAAAAGATTTTATTTATTTATTTGAGAGAGAGAGTGAGAGAGCAAGAGAGAGAGTGAGTGAGGGGAGGGGCAGAGGGAGAAGCAGATTCTCTGCTGACCAGGGATCCTGACGTGGGGCTCCATCTCAGGACCCTGAGATCATGATCTGAGCTGAAGGCAGATGCTTAACCAACTGAGCCACCCAGGCGCCCTGGGAAAATAGGTAATTACAGTACATTGTGATAAAGAATAAAATATAATAAGAGTATAATAAAAGCACCCACCAGGAAATGTTAAGTATTATCTAAAGGATTGGGGAGGTGGGGATGGGGAACAAGGCAGGCTGCAGGGAAAAGGGGATGCTTAACCTGGGACTTAAAGGATGGTTAGTGTTTCAGGTAGACCAGGAAAAAACTTCAGTTCAAGCTGGGAGACTCACAGGTACAATGACACAGAGATGTGAGATAGCACGTGAACTCTTGAGTGGCTCCTACCCAGGGTATGTGAGGATGAGCAATGGAAAGTAGAACGTACAGAACGATGGGCAAGATCCAGACGTCTGGCATTTGCCCTTCAAAGGCAGGAAAAGGGGGAGTAAGATGATTGTTTGGGATCTCATTTAGGAAGCTACTGAAACTGTACAGACAGGAGATGTTTAGGAGGTGAAATCAGTTGGCCAGGTGCTGGATTTAATGGGAGGCTAAAGAAAAAGGAGGGGGACACCTGGGTGGCTCAGTCATTAAGCGTCTGCCTTCAGCTCGGGTCATGATCCTAGGGTCCTGGGATCGAGCCCCGCCTCGGGCTCCCTGCTTAGCGGGGAACCTGCTTCTCTCTCTCACACTCTCCCTGCTTGTGTTCCCTCTCTTGCTGTGTCTCTGTCTGTCAAATAAATAAAATCTTTAAAAAAAAAAAA